TTTCTACTTAGAATTGGAGTCATGAGGACCATATCCAAAAGATGAACCTTATGTAGAGTAAAATGTCCTGAAACTTTGTTAACAAAACTTTGTTTTACTATCAGATTTTTAGGCTATTAATGAATGCCTATATGAAAATAGAGACAATTTGAGATTCCCATCGATGAAAAGAAATGTGAAGGTTGATATGCGAACTTAAAAACCACAGGAATAGGTTGGCACATGAAAATAAAAATATTTAAAGGTTTCTGTCGCTGATCCAACAATTAAAAAAACCACAGGACTTAGGATACAACAATTTTCTTGAAATGAAGATACAACCTATAATTTTTTATTTTCTTTGAAAACTAAAGTTTTCCAAAACAGAGTAAAGGGGAATTGCTTTATTTGTTTGCCTGAAAGACAAAAATCATGACCCTAGGTCTAGTACTTTATTAAATTCTAAAACAAAAATTACCAACATTTAGAAACTGATTTTTTTGTCTAATCACTTTTAAACAAAAACTTGGTACTCAGTTAGCCCTATAGGAACAATTAGACTAAACTTTATTTTTTTCATTTAGTTTTTCTTTTTTTGGTTGAATGCAAAAAATATGAATCCCTAGGAACCATGCTAAACCAATCAACAAAATCAAACCATATTTATATTTTAAATGTAGACAACAAGATATGGCATATAATCACATTCTAAAGAAATGCACATCCCCTAATATGTGAAAACTCATTCCAATATTACACATCCTCCGATGGACGCAAATAATTTTCAGTGGAATCATATTTGGTATCAATGGTGCAACAAAACCAATCTTTTGGTTCGTCGAAGAATGACCCAAACTTGCACTTGTCAGTATTCCTTGAGTTCCACGACACTCTGAAAATAAACAAAGTAGCCATTGACGCTATTCGACTAAGGCTCTTTCCTTTTTTGTTAAGGGATATTAAATAGTATGGTTACATTCCCTTCCATAAGCTTCCATTATGACACGGAACCAGAAAAAAATCGTCCTCTTAGCTATATATACACTCATTTCCTTCTAAAATAGCCTAACTAAGAAATCAAATTACTAGTAAAAAAAAATCAGAGAATCACTACAAGAAAAAGCTAAATTAGCCACGTGACTATGCCAGGTGATAATCACCTTGCTAAATAATGTATTTGAGGGGTGTTTTTCACCTCGCAACGTAGTTTTATATAAAAAAAAATATAGGTTTTTTTATCTCGCAAAAGATGGAGGGAAATTTGAAATTTTTGAAAAGAAAGTTGTGAAGTAAAAAATACTCCGCAATTGTGTTTAAAAAATTGGGGGAAATTTAATGTTCCAATTACTGATGCGTCAGGGTGGCAGGTGACCGTTTTGGCACTTTTCTGACACAAACTTTGCGAGGTGAATTTCACTTCGCAAGTCCCAACGGATATAATGGTTACGGGGTGACATTCACTTTGCAATGTCCAACAGATATGCTTTTGCACAGAGTGGCAGGTGGGCGTGACTGACAAATGCGTTGCTAGAGGATATACACCTCGCAACGTTTAACAGTTTAAAAAATTGTGGGGTGATTTTCACCTCGCAAGCTTATTCTATATACCACTGTTTCAACTTTACCCTACTTCCAGAGTCATTTTCTTCTTTCTCTCATTTGCAACACTTTCTCTCTTTCTTTCCCAACCCCTCAAAATCTCTCAAACCTCTAAATTTTAACAAAAATCAAGACTTCAAGAGACATAAAGATTCAAATTTCTTATTGGATTCAGATTTGATTTCAAGTTTTTCATCAAATCCATTTACTATGGTTCACATAGGAAATAAATTGTTTGTTATATTACACTGGATTGTATGAGCTGGTTTAAATTATGTCTTTTTTTATAAAAAGTTTGTATGATAAAAATAGTGATGGTTAGATTTGTGTATAATATTTTAAAATTTTTTTGATGAAATATTTATCACTGTGTTGTTTATAAATTGGTTGAAATGATAGAATATATGTTCATGATATAAGTAAATAACATATTTTTTAGTTTGTTAATAATCTGTTTTTAAATTTGTTAATAACAATTTTTTTCTTTTCTGTTTTTCATAAATAAATAAATAAATAATATTATAGATTTTAGTTTATTATTTTTGTAAAACAGTTTTATAATATACAATTGATATTATAATATCATATATATATATATATATATATATATATATATATATATATATATATATATATATATATATATATATATATATATATATATATATATATATATATATATATATATATATATATATATATATATATATATATATATATATATATATATATATATATATATATATATATATATATATATATATATATATATATATATATATATATATATATATATATATATATATATATATATATATATATATATATATATATATATATATATATATATATATATATATATATATATATATATATATATATATATATATATATATATATATATATATATATATATATATATATATATATATATATATATATATATATATATATATATATATATATATATATATATATATATATATATATATATATATATATATATATATATATATATATATATATATATATATATATATATATATATATATATATATATATATATATATATATATATATATATATATATATATATATATATATATATATATATATATATATATATATATATATATATATATATATATATATATATATATATATATATATATATATATATATATATATATATATATATATATATATATATATATATATATATATATATATATATATATATATATATATATATATATATATATATATATATATATAACTGAATACTATACATCTAAATATAGAACATTCTTATTTTTTAAAAACAGAAAAATATTATTTTTTAAAAACAGAATATTATTGTTAATATTATATTTTTTAAAATAAAATATTATTATTAATATTATACTTCTAAAAGCAGAACAATATATTTTTAAAACAGGATATGAAAATAAAAATAAAAATATAATTATTTTTTTTAAAAACATAATATTATTATAATTTTTAAAAACAGAATATTATTAATGTTTATAAAAATAGCATATTATTATTTTTAAAATCAAAATATTATATATTTATCAAAACAGAATAATATTTTTATTTAAAAAAATAGAATATTATCTTTTTTATTATATATTATTGTAAAAAACAGAATATTACTAATATTTATAAAAATAACATATTATTATTATTATTATTATTAAAAAACAGAATAATAAAAAACAAAAAAAATAAAATAATGTAAGTTTAAAATCAAATTATTATATATTTTATAATAACAAAATAATATTAATATTAAAAAACTAAATACTAATTTTTTAACAACAGAATATCATTATTATTTTTTAAAAACAAAATTATGCAGTATTATTTAAAACATGTTTTATAAATTTATATATTTTTTAAAGTAGCATATTGTAGTAACATAGTTCTATGTGTATTAGTTAGCCTAATGCTAAAGGAAAAACCCTATTATTTCAAGAGTTTTATGAGAGGACTTATCGAAAAAGAGATGGAGAGTATATCGACGAACGTTCTAAAAATACTCAAGTAAGATGAAATTAATATTTAAATGTTATATTTAATTTTTTTATTCAAATTAATTGCCTAAACTCTATTATTTAATTTAATTTTTTTACGTATGTGTTGGCGGAGTACCAAAGACTTAAGAAAGATTTTTTTCTTAACATCATGAGTTAAGTGGTCCATGGGGCCTTTTGATCCAGTTGTTGATCAATATCTTTGGATGAAAGTAAATAAGGGAAAGAATAAAAATGAGAAAATTTATGCTACTAGAACTTTAGCTAGCAACTACAAAAAAGGGGTAGATCTTTTTTATTTGGGAGAATTGCAACGTGGAAGGGTCCTCACTTTCTCCGACATTAACCCCTCAAATGGCTGAAACAATTAGACAATTAACTCAAAGTGAAGCAGCACGTGAACCTGCAACACGTGAAGCTGCAAAAACTACTGAATTGGAAGAAATGAGAAAAAACAAAATTGAGTTGGAAGAAGTATTGAAAATTTCACAAGAGCAAATAATATGTACACAATAACAAATGCAACAACAAATGTGACAAATGTTTCAACAACAATATGGTGGTGGCGGAGTTGGAGCGGTTAGTAACCAAGGAGCGGTAAGCGAGAATGATGAAGAAAACGAGAGTGACAAGGATGACTATTTGGATCAATGAAACATTATGAATTTAAATATTTTGAATTAATTATGAAAAATAAATTTAAATATTTTAAATTATTTATAAATTTAACATTTTAAATAAATTTCTGAATTTAAATTATTTATTATATTTATATTATTATACTTTTTATAGTTTGCGTGGTGCATTTCATTTGGCAAACTCAAAATATTTTTCCGGTGAATTTAACTCAACAACATTTAGTATATTCAAAATTTGTCAGGTGAAATTCACCTCGCGACTAACGTTACGAAGTGAAATACACATGACTAACTTGCAGCATACTTTTCTCCTTACAATATATTGCGATTAACGTTTTTGTGAAATGTCTGATACATCCCACAATAGTTCCGTTACAAAGTGATATTTGCATTTGCGAAGTGTTTTTCACATAATAAATTATAGTCTTTTTTTTAGTGAATCACTTTAGGAGGCAAGAGAGTGAATCACATAATAAAAATTTGTTGTCTTATTTGGCTAATATACCAAACATGCAATAAGTACACTTGAGATATTTGAGTCATTCATCCATCCAAAAGCTTAAACCCATTAACAACAATGACTTTTTATTTATTAATATTTATAACCGTCGAATCCAAATCTAACTCCAATGACGTAGAGATAGTTTAAACCAACACAAACACACCAACACTGACATAGATATAGTTTAACCAACACAAGCACAAATCCGAAAATAAACATAACATGAACAACAACAATAATTAACAATCAATAGTGGAAAACATAAACATTGTACTCAACAACAGCAACTCCAGATTTAGGATCATACGAATAACTACTAGCTTGAGCATAGCCTCTAGCAAATCTGAAAACTCCACTCCCACCAACAACAGCCATCTCTCTAATCTTATTCATAACAGGATTCCTACCAAAGATAGTAATACTACTTCCATTATACTTTCCTTCCACGAAAACAAAATTCATAGCCATAAGAACATCTACCTCAACCTGTGAAGCAGATGCGTAGAAGCCTTGAGATTTTCCAACAAGTTTGGAACTCAGTTGTGGCTCCGAAGTTAAAGGGTTGTCAATCATGTCGACAAAACCAAATCCAGTGGTTGAGTTTAGCTTCATTGGAGGAGCAACAATTTCAATCGAGGTGGGATTTTTTCCACTCCTTAGGTCATGCCAATAGAATCTAAAATGACTTAATTTTTCTTTCTTATTAAAATCAAAAGTATTTTCTTTTTCTGATGATGATGATGATGAGAATGTGTTGCAAGAGAGGAGAAGCACGAAGAAGAGAGTGAGGAAATATGGTGTAGACATTGTCGGGAATGTAAAGTAGTGGAAAATAGAAGTGAATGAAGAAAGATGAATGAAGTTAAGTGAAGAATGGAGGTTAATTTATAGGAAAATTCGTTGGTGGATCCCTATATAGTTTCATCGGGTAATACTATCTATAAAATAATAATAAAATAATTTTAAATCTATTATTAAAAAATGAATTATCTAAACTAAAATTTTATAAAAAATATTTAAAATAATTTATGTTTATAAACTTTTCAAAAAATATTTTTGATAATTTTTTTGAAAAAACTAGGGAAATTTCACTCATCTCCCTTTAAAATGGTTAAAATGTTGCCGACATTTTGTCTAGTTTAAAAAATACACTAATCTCCCATATATTTTTATTTTGTCTAGTTTAAAAAATACACTAATCTCCCATATATTTTTATATATACTAATGGAACATTTTAGTGACAGAAAAGAAGCATAGATAAATGTCATTTACACCCACATACTATTGTTATAGTGTTTTTTGTTTTTTTGTAAATGATTTGATGATATTGAACTTCACCATACTCACACCTACTTAATTACATTGAATATTTATTTGAAAATGATTTGATGTGATATGAACCTCACCATACTCACACCCACTTACTATGGACTAAATTGTAAATAATTTGATGCGATACAAAAGAACAATGGAAAACAACATGAAAATATAAATTTTGTACAAAGAGAAAAAATCATGTCTTTAAATTCTAAAATATAATATAGGAAATAATAGTTCTGAGTTAATTTAATTTTTAATTAGATTTTATCTTATTGTAAAAGTTCCTTAAACAAAGCCGGATAGATTTAGGGTTTCTTTGGATTCTTTTTTATTTGAGATGATTTACCTCATAAACTTTATGACATTTTGCTAGATTTTATAAAAAAAAACTAATAATTTTTTCATAAATATTTTTGAATTTACTTTTTATAAAATTTTCAAGATAACTTATAAAATAATTTATATTATATATAAAAATAGTTTAAATTTATTTTTATTATAATAATAATGTATGCAGATTTATTACAAGTTACAAGTTGGAAAGGTATTATAGTCACAAATATACTAAGTCTTTGGCTCTGTTATGGAAAGGAAGTTGGAGACTCGGGTAACTGGAGCGGTTTAAGGTAGAGTTGGAACATTTATTTTCCTCCCTTCCTCAATGGCTCTGTTATGGAAAGGAAGTTGATTGATTTTTGGAATTTACTACAGAGTGTTTGGCCGCTTGTAGACTACGAAGATAACTTAAGTTGGAACTCTAAGGAGTCACCTTTATTTTTGGTATCTACCTGCTATGATTTGACTTTTTAGGATCAGTTAGTGTGAGTTAGACGTCACTCTTCTCGAAGGTTACAAAGCGGTTTGAGCTTCAAAGATTCCTTATAACCTGCAGATGTTCCTTTAGAGGTTGTTTAGGAATCGTATTGCTACCAAGGACCAGTTGGCTAGAAGAAGTATTGGGCTTGGTGGGTAGGCCTTGTTGTGCCCTTTGTGAGGGAGTGTAGAGGAGTCTCCGACCTGTGAATTTTGTTGTTAAGGTATGTAAGGGTGTTATCAAGTGGTTTATGATTCAAGTAAGGTTAGTTGGTAGTTGCCTATATTCCTTTTCCTATTTGTCAACTCTTATAGGAAGGTTATAGGCAATTTTTTGGGAAACATTGTATGGGTTGTGTTAGATGTCAAACTTTGCTTTATTACTCTATCAAATGTTGGCATCTTTTATTCTTTTTGCAGATAAATTGATTTAAATCACTTATGTTTTGGATGATATGCTTCATTGCTTGAAAATGCCTTGGTTGCTTTGATTTGTGTGCTATTGTGCAGGAATTAGGCACAAAGTAAGTGAAGAGTAAGACACAAAAATATTGGCAAGGAAACTAAGACAGCAGAAAAACATCATGAAGTTCGTCGTGCGAAGCTCCTAGCGAACTTCCCCAGAAAATTCATCAACAAGTTCGCACAACGAACTTGCCAGCGAAGACCCCTGAGAGCTTAGTATTGTTCACACAGAGAAGAAAGGGACCAAAACTCGTTGTGCGAAGAAGCTAGCGAATAGTTTGCTGGAGTGAAGACATAGCGAAATGCTAGCGAATGGTTCCAGACTTGAGACAGTAAGTATTTGGATAAGAATTCGTTGTACGAAGTTGCTGGCGAAAGCTTCGCAGTGCAAAGGATTGTTCCCACAACGAACATGAGCAAATGTCTCAGGTTGGTTTAACTGTACACTAGCACTTTAAGTGTCACATTTGGATGTTCGCAGTGCGAATGTGACAGCATGGGAGCATGGCTATAAGTACTTGAGACCACTTTTTTTAGCCAAAACCACTTTTTGATACCTTTTCATAACTTTATGATTTTCAGCAAGAAAACCCTAGTTCTCCCATTTTCATCATCTCTTAGCCATCTTTCACCAAAAGAAGGTGGATTCCCATCCAATCTCGATTTTTCGACTTGGGTGTTGATTAACCTTTTTCCGAAACTTGTTGCTCAAGCTACCATGGAAATAGGTGGCTAAACCCCTTTTGTGTCAAGATTAGATGTAGCTAATTCTGATTTTATGTATTTCTTTTAATCTTTTATATGTGAACAAAGATTTGATCAATATAGATGAAGTTATTTGCTATATTTTGTCGTATTTATGGTTTGGATTGCTTTAGACATAAACATTTCAAGTCTTGACCTAATTTCTTCATCTATCAACTAACAATACATATACACTATTCAAGATCAAAATATAATTTTTTATAAATAAATATCTCAAAAAAAATAAATTTTAAAAGTTATTTAAAATAATTTTAAATTTTAAATTGAAATTTTATTATAAAAAAAAATAATGTAAATAATGTGGTTTTTGGATTGACAACATTTTGGTAAACACATGATGTCAGCAAGATGTTAAGACAGATGTTCTGCTATGAGAGTCCGACATCATGTTCAACATGATATTATGACATGTGTATGGATATATTATACCAGAAGTCTAGGAGTCATACCTTAAAATTAATCCCTAGATTCATTGATCATTTACATATCATTCTAGGTCAATCATTCATGCATAGCTAACCAATTATCAGACATTGTTTTGTTTTGTCCACCTGTATAATTAAGGTTTGCTTCAAGAGGCTCAAAAGATTAATCAGTCAAAGTCTTGGATTGATCATCAACCAATTAAGTTCTCATACACTCAAGAGATCCCCCCATCAATAATCAAGTGCAAAATGGTTTCATTATAAGTTCTTCAAGGTCCAAGTTCATCTGGCCATGAAACTAGGGTTTTTCAATAAAAGTCAACTGCATCCTTGACTTTTGATCAAGACATGGTCTCAAGCCTTGCGACACGATTCAAGATATTCAAATACACTTTTGAAATCTATCCATGGTGTTTAAATAGAACAAGATATTGAATTCATTGAAGATTAAGAAGTGAAGATTCATCTGATACACAAGTCATTCACTGCAAAGTCAAACCTTTGACCTTAGGGTTTTTGGTAAAATATGAACTTCTCAAGCCAAATTACGTAAAGACATGTTTCATGATTGATTTTGATCAAGAAGAATTAAAAGAATTGAGGTTAGTTACAAAAAGGGCAATAATGAATAAATTGGATTGTTTCTAAGTCATGAGAAAACCTAAGTTTGGCGATGACTTGCCATGGCCATAACTTTCAATCTAGACATCCATTTTCTTTGATCCAAAGATTAATTTGAAGAGCTCATTCCATACTACAACTCTGCCAAGGAGGAAGAATTCCCAATAAAATGCATAGATTTCAAGTTATGATAGCATGAAGTTGAGAAAAATAAGATTTTGAGATTCTATACTTAGAATTTTTTCAAAGTGTTGAAGTTCAACTTAGAGGGTGTTTTTTTAAGACCATTTTTCTCATGGTTCTAGGCTCCAAATAAATTTTCTTTCAACATGAAAGTTGTTCCATATGTTTCAAGCTTTCCATTGATGCCAATAACTCCTCAATTGGATCAATACATCTCAACTTATGGCATGTCAAAGTTAGGTGTTCAAAGTTGCCAAAATCCATAACATAATTTTTTCTAAGATACTTTGGACAATTTTTTGAGTGCAACTTCCACCAACTTTTTCTCATATTTCCAAGCATTATTTTAAGTTGGTTTTAACATGTAAGTTGTTCACCTTGCTCCCTACTTTCATTTGAGCCAAAGACCTCACAAATTGGAGCAACAATCATCAAGATATAATGATTCAAAGTTGGCTATATTGATATGATGGTTAAAGTTTACATGTTGTCATTCTCATGCACACCATTTGAATTCTTCATGCAACAAGTTTCCCTAATCCATACCATGCACATGACATCTCATTTGTCTCACCAAACATTTCCCTAACAAGCCAAGCACTCATATGTACCTCATGCACCAATTTGAAACATTATTTTTCCAAAAAGTGAAATATGACAAAATAGACAAAAACTTGCATAGCAAGAATTCTGCTCCACTATATCTCATTCTGATCTCTTTTACCACTCACCAAAAACAAAACAACAACTAAAACCATGATACCACTCGTACCACCTCATGCTCACCCTTATTTTTCATATTTTGTACAAAAATGAACCAAGCATTTTAACCACAGTCATTATATTTTTAACCTCACTAGACTCTCATATAAATGCTAAAGAACCCCTAAAAGCCACCACACACATTCATTCTGGCTCAAGGAGAACCAAAACTCACTCTCACTCTAAAAAATTTCATTTCCTTAGAATCTCTCTTTTCTTTAAGTTTCTGGCATTTACTTTGTTACATTCATCATCCTCAAGGTTTATAGAAGAAAAAAGAGAAGTATGTAGAGTTTTTGGAACAAGAACAGAAATTATAAAGCTCTCACGTGGGTAACACTTTCTTCAATTTTTTTCTCATTCTCTAATGCCTTTTTGAACCCATGTTATTTGCATTTAGAATTCTGGAATGATGTAGATGATGTTTGTGTTATGGTTGTTCTATTTTCACG